ACCAAGAAAAGGAGCACTCCCGGACCAAGGTTGAAAACTCCGGGGGTGCCCATTCAAAGAAAAGCCCAGGAGTCCGGACCAGATTTTTTTTTTTTAAGAAAACAAATCGGGGTTCCTATTCAAAGAAAAGCCCAGGAGTGCCGAGCCTTGGAACATGTCCCCAGCTCGCCTTGAACGTCCCATTCGAAGCCGCGGGGAGGGCCAAGGCCTGAAAAATAGTTCGGGTCTTGGGATCCTATGGGGCGGCCCATTCGAAGGGTCAGTGCATCGTCTGTACACGCGGAATTCGGATCGTCTGTACACGCGGGACCGGATCGTCTCTGCACGCGGGCCTTTTTTGCCCCGGATCGTTTGTACACGCAGTGCTTACTGCTATGCACAAGAAGGGACAGGGGCGTTGACAGCCGCATGTTTCCTTGCCTTTCTGTCGTATGAACTTAGGAAATGTTGTGTTCCGTTGTCTCCTGTGCGGTTTACCTCTGTCAGCCGCTCTCAATTTTGCTCGGGGTAAAGAATGTGGTGTATATGTTCTTGCATTAAAGGTTTGACAAGTCTCTTGCACTTCGTGTGTAAATCAGGGGGACAGACTTTCGCCCGGCTTCGCTTGGTCTAAGGGCATTTTGTGTTGAGAAGCCCTGTAGGGTAGCCATTGTGCGACCCTCTCTTGTGGCCAACCATGCTTTAAAGGGGACAGGTATACCTACCCCCTACTCCAAATACCCACTTGTTCAAGGGTATGTTTTGGGAAAGGCTGGTTTTCCACGGTAAATACCTCCTTGTTGAGTAGAGGGTCGACATGATACCCCAAAAAATGCCGAGTCGGGGGTACCTACCACCACTGAAGGTGGGTATCATTTCGACCCTCTACTCAACAAGGAGGTATTTACCCTGGAAAACCGATCGGTTTTCAGCAAAAGTTTGTATTTGGAGTCGGCACCTGGACCCCCAAAGGACCCCTTTTTTCTGCCTTTGTACCCCTTTTCTTTGGGTCAAAGGCAGAAAAAAGGGGTCCTTTGGGGGTCCAGGTGCCCACAGACCTCTCCCGGCAAGGTCCAGTTCGGCGAGGGCCGCGGGCCGCTGCAGATCCTCCGCGCCCGCGCCGGCGCGGGGCTGGGGTTCCGGGGCTTCTTCCAGGGCCTGGGGCCCACGGCGGTGAAGGAGTGCCCCTCCTACGGGGCGCCTGGGCCAAGTGTGGCTCGTGGCTCGAAGAATGGAACGGCGGCACCCTGTTTTTTTTCTCCCTCTGTTCTTTGGGGAGGGTCCGATTCCTTGAAAGTCAGCCAAAAAAAAAAGGCTTTTTTTTTTTTTCCACATGCACATCCACTGGGCATCTATACACATGAACCCAGGCTTTGGCGCTGAAAGGAAACCACCAGTTGGAGGGTTTAGAAGGTTCATTCACTCCTTCCTGTTTTTGTGGGGTCGGGACCCACAATTTTTGACAAACTACGTCAACAAAGCAGCAGCCTCCAAGGGTTTTGGTAGCCAAAACGGCTCAAACAAGGGCACAAGACACATGGACAACGTGCAGGAAGCTTGTTGTGTCCAGTACTGAGCTCAGATTAAGACCATGGGTCTCCCCCGACAGATTTTTTTGATTTTGAGGTAGACTAAGTATGAACCAATTTCTGCGTACCCCAGAGATGGCCCAAGATGTTCTTTGGTGTGTCCATCCAAAGGTGATCTCCGGATTCGCGTTTTCAGGCGCGCACAATCACAGAGTCAAGGGGCTTATCAATGGGTTCCGAAGCGAAAACCCGGCTGAAGCCAGCCAGAGGTGTACTTCCTGGTGTATGAGGAGACGGCTGGGAAGGGGGCGCAGTGTTTTGTCGTCGCGGAGATGTCACTGAACTGGCATGGGAAAGGACCTCGAAGCTGCCTGGGCCGGAAAGAACTACCTGGGCCCTCCAACTTCCCAGAAAATTCTAGGGGTTGATTCCAACCATTCTTTTCAACCATAGTTCTTTTCAAGAACCAGCTGTTTTCCCAGGTTTTTGGTGGTTTTCTGGAAAGAAGGATCCCTGGAAAGAATGGGGAAGCCACCCCTAGAAAAATTGGCTTCTGCCCTAAAACATGCGGGGTGATCTCCCCTGTCTGCGGCCAATTTGCGGGTTCAGGTGGAGATGTTTACCAACCATTATTGTAGGACAACACGTTTCTATGGGTAGTTTGAGGGTCCAGGTACATGTTGGTCCCAAGCGCAGGCCAGCCACGCACGAGCGATTGAATCGGAGCTGCGTGCTAAATCATGGGTCCGTGGCTTGCAATGTCCCAAGCACTCGCTTGCCCAAAGCTGAGCTTTTTACCTTTGGACCCATCCACGTTGAGTTCTACTTTTCTCACTTCCTGAGTTCCTGGACTTTAAACTTTTTGGGAAGACAATTTTAGTGGCAAGCAAACAGTTTAGACTGTTTTTGGCCAATGCACTCAGGAAGTGAGTTTTTGAAGGTGCCACAATGTGATCACTGGAAGCCAACTGGAAGCCAACTGGGGATGAAGGTTCCTTGCCAGAAGCCTTGGAAATGTCTGGCGTCTGGCTCTGGCGTCTAGGGTTTAGGGTTTAGGTGTTGTTTTAAGGTAGGTTCTGCCTGGTCTGGTTTGGATAGAAACCGATGGGTTCCACCGGTTTAGATGGGCTTCATGCCCCATATGCCATATAGCAGGGGAAACCCAACTATCTTTCCTGAAGGTCACCTATGCTAGTAGTATGTTTCACGGCAGTTGCAGTAAAGCTTGAGTGTGCTGCTCATGCTGTATTGTTTGTTGTTCAGGCATGGTGTTGGGCGGTTCTATTTTTTGGAGCCACAGCCCTATACAAAACTGGTCAATTGCTATACCTATCTGCCTGGATCCTCAAACTGCCCTTACAAGGGGATTTTCAGGGCAGTTACTGTTCCATGGCTAGTTCAAGGGTCCAGGATTCCAGCTTCGCTAGAACGAAAGGTCAGCGAGGGTGAAAGGTTTACGGGCCGCTGAACTGGCGGTGGGTCAAAAATCGGTAGCCAAAATGGCTTGCCCTGGCAAGTGGACAGATGGAGTAAGAATCTGCGGTCTCCTGGTGGTTTGTTTAATTTTGACCCATCATACCCAACTCCGCTGAGGAGTCCAAGCGGATCTTCGACCAGTCCAAGGTGCCCACTGTGTTGGCCACACTGGGCGCTGGTGGCCTCGCGGGATGCTTTGCTCTAGGCGGGGACGCGGGCGGTCTTTTTTTTGGGGTGGAGGTTAAGGTTGACCCCGGATGCATAACCCCCTGTTTCTAATATGGGGGTGTCGCTGGTTTTAGTGGGGATTCATCTTTAGTATAAGGGCCTACTCCAAATACCCGTGTTGTTGTTTTTTTGGTATCAGGTTGACCCTCTACTAACGGTATTTACCATGGAAAGCCGTTCGGTTTTCCCAAAAATACCCGGAACACAGCGGGTATTTTGAGTAGGGGGTAAACCCCTGTTTACGAATATGGGGGTGTCGCTGGTTTTAGTGGAGATTCGGACCACTTTTGGAGGGGAACACCCCCAGAATAATAAACAAGGGGGTTATTCTTCCGGGGTCAACATGATTCGCCCATCACCTCGCTTCCTGAATTCCTCGTCTTTAAACTGCTGGGAGACCATCTTAGCGGTTTAAAAGAACACGTGAGTTTTTCGGCCAGTCCACCCGAGTGAGGCGCTAACGTGCGCACCAAGTCAACAGTATGAGCCAATCCATTCGCCTTTCAGTGAGGTGCAGGGTTGTGGGATCACTCGGGGTTTATCCAACCACTTCTGTGATACTTTAGGGAATCTTCCCTTTTACTGGATTAGTCTTTGGGAAGCCCATTTTGTTGTATCATGTTGTATCGCAGAAGTGGATTCCATTTCCCGCAGCCCTGGTGAGGCGCGAACCAAAAGTTATTTGAGTTCGGGTGGCCCTCCCGAAGTTGGCCCCTCGCTCCAGCTTGTTCCTATGGCTCACTCCCTGAGTTCGTGGATTTAACACTTAATGGGAAGACAGTTTTAGTGGCAAACAAACAATTTCGGGATTCGGTTTGGCCAATCCACGCAGGAATCAAGCGAGTTGGCCTGCGATGCGCAAACATGGGTGTTTGGCAAAACTGGATGAAACGTCTTGTGTTACATAGGCAATTCAATATGGAGGGAGACATTCGCACATTGAGCCGGAAGATTCCACGTCAAAGGAAAGCCCATGGCAATTCGCAAGATGGTGAGTGGATTGGACAATGCCATGCCCAGACGCTCTTGAGTTCTTTTGGGCCCTCAAACCGCCAGGTGTTGAGACCCCAAACCTTCTCTGGGGTGTCAAATGGAGGGTTTGGGTCTTCCATTGGAAGCCCCAGGAGCGTCTGGGTGGTGAAACACCGTCAACTAAACGGTTGTTGGATCCAACCTCCCTATATGGCCTTTGGATCTGATTGTGGGGCTTGTTTTGAATTGTTTTTTGGGGAAGAGGGGGAGGGAGCCTTACATTTCAGGGGAAGCAGGGGATGGATTGACTGTCTCTGACCAAACTCCCTTGTGACCGGATTTTCGAAGGGCCCGGTTTCAGTTTGATAATTCTCCAGAGAAATCTTTGTCGCGTGTATTCTCGAATATGCAGGTGAACACAACTTATGTTTGCATTAGCCGTAGACCCAGTGGTATCTTTCAACCATACAGTAATAGGCAACCAACCAGACTCAGACATGTTGGTTTTCGAAGCGTGGTTCGCTTGGCCACCCCGTCTTTTTAGGGAACCCCCTTTTAGGACATTAAAAGTGGAGTTTGTTTTGAGGGGGTTTCCCTTTTGGGGGAAACCAAAAGCAAAAACGGAAGCCATTTGTGGGCTTCCCGAATTCATGTTAAGACACAAAGCCCAATCTAGGCCGGGATTGCCCACCTAAAAGGGCCCCCAAAAAAATCAGAGACGTCAGCGCCCCCCAGACTTCACCCGGAGGCATGATTCACCCGGTGGATGTGGTGAAGTCTCGCATCCAGAGCTTGCCGGTGGAGGCAACCGCTCAGGAGCCCCCGGAAAAACGGCTTCGAGTGGATTCGAGTCGCTTCGCTCAGCGAACCAGTTGGATGCATCGAGTGGATTTTTCCTCCAGCAGAAAGCTATGAGGCCGAAATCGACCCGGATAGGCCATGGGCTGGTTCGGGGTGGTTTGGGTTCCGGTGGCTTCCCGGGGCAATACCTGGGCTTGCTGGGACGCTCGCAAATTCCAACAGAAGCATGGGGTGCCCCAACGTTGTGGGTGAATCCCCGGCAGTTTGAGGGTCCAGGCAACAATTTAAAGGGGAATCAAAGGAAGCGACAGCATTTTGGGGTATTTCAGGACACCCATTTCAGTGCCTTTAGTCACCGACATCAGTGGTGAGCTCTGTGACTCGGTGCAACTCGAAAAGCCCATCGCAACCGTTACTGAAAAACAGCGAAAAAGCAACTTGGCGATCTAGGCATCTACTTTCAGAAGTTTGCAGGTCCCAGTTTCCGAGGTGCCCAAGACCGGACTGAAGCTGTTTCCAGGCTCGTTCGGCCAGGGCACCCACTTCCGTGAAAGGAAGGCCATGGCACCCACTTGAAAGGAGTGAGGTAGGTGAGGCTCATTCCCCCCCTCTTTTACGGATTCCCAGTTGCCCAGTGGCGCCCTTTTTCCCTTTTTTGGGGGAAGGGTTTCTCTTTAAAGTCAACCCCAAAAAAGGAACCATGAGTTGTTCCCTCATATCCAAAGGAGAATTGATGACAAGCTTTTGTGTTTTTTTTCCCGGCCCGGACTGGTGGAAACCCCTGGCAGTCAGGCAACCATGTGAAGCCATTTGTCAGTTTTAGGCGCTGCTCATTTACTAAACAGACCTACTGCAAACCTGCAACCCCTCCCCCCCCAAAAAACAAAGGTGCCTTCGTGTGTTGTCAGAATCTCCTGTTGGGGGCTTCACTCGCACAGCGCTCAACGCGCACACAGCTGACGCAGTGTGGCGCGTGTCCGTCGAGTCCTCTCACTTAAATGGCCGGCTCAGATCATTTGCCGAGCGGACCGGCCGAGTGAGAGTAAAAGCGCCAAGCGCCTGCTCCGCCTGCAGAAGGGCAGAGCGCGTGCAGCTGATCGACAGTCCCGATTGGGGAGGGCCGACCCTCAATGCCGCCAGATTGAGGCCTCTAATTTCACCAATGTTCACTTCATAAGCAGAAGCAACAGCACGAAAAAAAGACCGAACCAACATGAGATCAGAAACCACCGTGGCCTGAGCATTGGTGTATGACCCATACTGACTGGCATCCTTCCAAACATTGCCATGCGGCGAGGACACAGACACCGGGAAGGGAACTCCCTCAGTCCGCAACACAGCGACAACCTCAAGCCACGAAAGGCAAACCCAGGCATCAGCACTTTGTTGCTGTTGCCGAATCCAATTGAAGGCCGATTCAAAGAAGGCCTGTCCAAAACTTGCAGCAAGATGCATATTGATGGCATCTTGCGGAACTATCCACTCAGCCCAGGAGTGCTGAGCCTCAGGGCGAGCAACAAGCAAGCCGACATGCTGCGGCAAATCTGCTTCGAGTTCATCATCGACATCCAGGCGATACGCAGCGGGATGTTTGCTGAGCTGTTCAGCAATGTCAAGGTGCAGCCGGATAAGCTGATCCAGACGACGTTGCATGCCGAGCTCAGCATCGCGATACGCCGACCAAGATTGCATGAAGGTTGTATGCCTGCGACGATTGGCAAACTTGGCAGCCTTGTCTGCCTCATCGTTCCACCGAGCTGCCCACTCGTCGATGGGGTCATCGCAGGAATTGGCATCAAGGTGACCAGAAACATGACGAATACCAAGGCTGCCAGCCGGCATAGCGTCGACCGCAAGTGAGAGGAGCTTCCAGAGGTCCCCATTGCTCTTGGGGAGGTCAGCACGGTCATGCAAAAGACGCCAGGCCCCCTTCGCAACATAGGCCGAGTCTGTGTATATGACCCCCGACGCGCGACAGGCTCCCAACCATTCGACTGCCGATATAACTGCCGTCAATTCTGCTCTGTTGATCGTCTGCGGCAAACCATGCAGTGGCCCAAAGGCAACGACCCGGCTGTGAGTTGCTGATACAACAGACCATGAGGCGAGGCGTAGTGAAGGGAGGCGTTCTGTCGAGCACGAACCGTCCGTGAACAAATGTACCTCCTGTCCAACATCCGCGGTGACCTCGCTGCAATCGGCGGTGATGGGCAGTGAAAACAGCTGATGCTTGACCTGCTGGTACAGTCCATTGCGTGGAGGTAGCAAACGTTCCCGCATACACGTGGGAGACGAGGCCCAAAGCTGTTCGATGTCCGGATACCCTGCACGAATACCCGCCAGACCAGGACAGTGTAAGCAGCGGTGCTCAATGTCATCATCGGCGCCGCATAGCACACATTTGCCATCGGAGAGGTTATCGTACTTTCGCCTCTGAACTCCAGTGAAAAAGGAACCATCACGTTGTGCGTGAAGCCGAGCGGCTTCCAAGGATGTCAGACGAGCTTCAGAGAGGCGACAGAGTTCCCCATCAATACCCTGCAAGCCGTGAAAATCATTCCGGTGCGCAACAAGGTGCGAGAGATGCTGATACCAGGCGTCCTCCAGGAGCTTATACAACAGTTCCTTGGGGGTGTCGAGCAGATGGTGAGCCACCCCGTCATGGTCCTGTAGCCATGGAGGAGTGAGAACAGTCCAATGGATTTGGCCCAGTTGCCGGAGAATGGTAGAAAACGGCCCGGCTCCGAGGTGGCCATCATACCCTTCCATGTACTGACACCAGTGATCCAGCAGCGACGGAGATTTATCCAGAATACGCCGGAAATCCTGAATGACAGTCCACAACTGATACAGGCCGGGATCAAGTGTGGCCCGATGCATCAAAAGACCAAGCCGTATGGCAGGGTTGGAGCCAGCCTTCCCGGCACCTAGTGCTGTTGATGCTGCTGTCCGCAACTGCTGAATATGCCGAGTGCCCAGGTCCGATATAGCTGCAGAATGAAAAAAACGCGGCCAGAAGGCTTGATTGACAACCAACTGCTTGCAGTGATGCGGGATATTGGCTCGACGAAGCCTACTCCAATGCGAGCGTAGCTTCTGTACCAATTGATCATGGGCAGCTGTCTTACGTCGAAGACCGTAGGTCATAAGGCCTCCAAGGTCCTTGTCTTGATCATGGACACTCAGCTTCAGTTGTCGAAGCTGCTGTCGATCTCGAGCCTGCAATGCCCATGCGAACGACTTGTCGTGGTCAACCGACAATTGGAAGAGATCCAGGAATGATTCCTGAGTGATGATGGACGTCATCAGATCCCCAACAGAGTTGGCGACCGTCTCCAGGTTATCCACATACGAAGCATGTATGGCATTTGGTGCGTATTGCTCCTGGTAGGCATGATGTGCCCAACTGACCAGCGTCATAGCCAAACAGGAGAGAGCACATCCCTCCGGATAACCATTGTTGGAGCAAATAGGAGGCCCTGCCGTACCACGTACCTGAAAATGTCTGGTGAGCCCTTCCAAATATCGATGCCAAGCATTGACGATGTGGCCAGGGAGACCCACGTGCTTGGCGATGAGCTTGACATGTCTGCGTGGCAAGAAGTTGAAGGCCTTGCAAATATCACTGACAAATCCCAGCAAAGGTTGTTGATTCTGCGAGCAAAGTTCAATCAAGCCTTGTAGGGGGACCCAGAGCAACTTGGTCTCCCGGCGCGGCAAAAAACCAAATGTGGGGAAGGTGAGGTGACTCGCTAATCCATGAAGGGCTTGTCTTTTCACGAAGTGAAGACCAGGCTCTGAGCGGCAGACCAAGAACAGTGATCGGCCTGTAATCACCAGCTTGAGTTGCCTCCGCATGCTTAGGTAAGCCACTGGATATACCCGTCAGAAGCTGTTGCGGCCAGGCTGCACCATTTTCAACTCGAGTGAAGATATCCATCAAGCCCACGCAAAAGGATTGTGGCATCATACGAAGATCCGCAGGTCCAATCCCATCAGGGCCCCGAGCAGCAGTAGGCTTGAAATCCTTCAGTGCAGCTGTCCAGTTTGAGATTTGCAGAGGAGGCATTTGCACCTGTAATTTGGGCAGGAATGCCCGAGTAAATCCAACTACCCGAGACCATGCTTCATCAGGAAGCTGTGATAGCGTGTTCCACCGCGGTTTCCAATAGTCCGCCAACTCTGCATGGATCTGAGCCTCTTGCGTGAGGTGCTGGCTGAAATGCAGGGTCTGTCCCGGATAGAGCAGCAGGTCCGTGTCAACCTCGAAAGTATCTGAAGATAACTGCTTGACGTCCGCAGGGGTGCCATTGACCGTCCACGTGACAAGAGATCCGACTGTGACATTCCGATCAACCAGAATGCGAACGCCATCCTCAGCGACATACACAATGGTAGCGGAGCCATCTGAGGTGAGCCAGTCGATCTGCGCTTTGGGCGCGTCCCGCACCTGCTGGAAGGCAAGGTGGACTTGTTGTTGTACCTTTGCTCGGGCACATTTTGCACGATTGCGGATATTCCAGCTTTCAAAAGACCAAAAGTTGGCCTGAAAGTCCAAGAAAAGCAGCTCCACAGCCGGTAAGGGAGGCACAACCGCAGGCAGGGTGTCAGGCGCTCCCTGTAGTTTGGGCCACCATTCAGCAAAAGAGGGGTGAAAGCCACGCGCAGCCTTGATTGCTGCCCACGTTTCAACCCTGTACGCAAGGTGGGTTGGACCTGTACCATCGGCACGCAAATTGTGCAACAAACTCTGCAAACGTCTGAGCTGATTGAACCGCAACAGGACTGCTCTGCCTAGCAGGTCGGATGAGAGACGCACTTCGCCTTCTCTGCTGGGTTTGGCAATGGGCGCCTGCTGTTGTCGTCGGATAGGATGCAAATGGCTGCCGCGACCCCATGCAGCAGAAGGCAATCCTTCATCTCCTTGAGAACGAAGTTGTTGATGAACACCCTCCTCCATCGAGCCAAAGAGCCGACGATAACTACCAGTCAAGTCTGTGGAGATGTTGACCGGC